TTGTAACCAGAGTGCCAAGAGCAGCAGTGGTGGTTTTTGTTTTGTTTTTTTTTTTTTCCCTTCAGGGTTTCACTCTGGGCGGTTCACCCGAGGTTTTTTTTGTGCCTCCAGCACTTCCCACAGTTGTGGTGAAGAAAATTTGACTGGAGATTGTTTTCTTTGCAGCACAAGGTGGAGGTGCAAAGCTTGCTCCCCAGGCTGTTCCCATCTGCAGCATTAGGCTCCTAAAATTAAAAAAAAAAAAAAACCTCCTGGAGTTTTGGTGTTTTTTGTTTTTTTTCTTTCTTGCTGACACCTTTTGTTTGGGTTTCTTCTCAGGATCTCCCCTGGAAGGAAAAGCTGCCCCCAGCAGGCAGGGGGGTGGTGACAAAGCTGCCCCTCCCGACGCTCAGGTGGCAGGAGGTGCCGGTGCGGGCACTGCCCGGGACAGAGACTCTGCTGCCACCGCCCCCAGATGGGCCCAGCTGCCAAAAGCTGCTCCAAAACTACCTCAAGAAACCAAAGACGCTGCGGGGAGCGAGGGACTGGACCAGCAGCCCAGGGGGAATGGGGATGTTAACCCCAGGGACCTGCTGGTGCCTCCCCCGAAAGGGACACTGGGACCTCCATCCTGCCGTGCACAGAGCGAGGGGGCTCCTCCTCCTGACCCAGCAGAGAGGCTCAGGGGGCCTGGCCCTGCCTCAGGAGCAGGAGGGGAAGGACTTGAGGGGCCACCTCTGGAGGGCAAAGCTGGAGCCAGGCAGAGCTGGGTGCCCACGGGTGGCAAAGCCCCCGCGGGTCGGGGTGGCCGCAGCTCGGAAGGCACAGCCTGCGCTGCAGATGGTCCCCCTGAGGGCAGGACGAAGGCAAACAGCTGCTTGCAGGGGCACCAGCACCCCGAGCAGCCCAGGGTAGGTCCAGCCTGCCTGGGGCACAGGGAAGAGGAGCAGCAGCAGCAGCAGAAGGTCACCGAGGCCACCGTGTGTGCCAAGAACAGCAAGGTCAGCTCCACCGGGGAGAAGGTCGTGCTCTGGACCAGGTACTTTTGTCCTTCCTGCCCTTCCTGCCCTCACTCTTTGGCCCCAGCTCTCACTCACATTGCTCAGGGTGCTTTTGTTTCCCTGTTGTATCCCCATTTTCTGGTTTCAAGATTCCTGCCTCCTTTCCTCTGACCATCAGAGCTCGCTCCTCCCCTGTTGCTGGAGCACTTCAGCCTGGGAAAGAACCTTTGTCCTCCTTTCAAAAAAAAAAAACCTTAAAACAGCTGAAAAACACGAAAAAAACTTTCAAAAGGCAGCTCTGCTTAGAGATGGGTGCTGGGGGTGGAGGTGGCAGGAGGGGTGAAGGGGATCCCTCGTGTGTGGGTGTGAGGGTGGAACTCGAATCCCATCGCTGGTTTTCAGGCTGTTTTCCCAGCTGCTTGTTTTTGCAGGGAGGCTGACAGAGTCATCCTCACCACCTGCCAGGAGAAAGGAGCCCACCTGGACACCTTCCATGCCATCTCCCAGAAACTGGGCAACAAGACGGCGAGCGAGGTGAGCGAGGGCTTTGTGGGGTGGGAGAACTCCCAGGGAATGGGGAAGGGGCTCCAGGGGAAGGGAAGTTGGGGGTTTTGCTGTTCATATTAAGCCTCCCAAACTTTAAAATTTGATGAAAAAAATCATCCCAGCTGCAAGGAAATCAAACCCAAAACAAACCCTGGGGCCAGAAATCCTGAGATGTTTGAGCCTCGCAGTCGGTGCCAGGGTTGTTTCAGTGGCTGCTGCTCAGGTCTTCAGCCTCCTCCTCTTCCTCCTCCACAAAGAATCTGCCTGGTTTTGTCTCTGAATCTTCTTCCCAAACTGCCAGATTCCACCTGCAAATCAGTAGAATGTAACTGTTCTTCCAGAGAGAACAACCACCTGCTGCTCTTGCATTTCCCTCTTCTTTGTACCAAGTGCCTTCGTGGTATTTATATATATATATATATATATATAAATATTTTGGGTTTTTTTAAACAATACAAAACACCCTGAGCCTTGTTAATAGGAGGTTCCAGTTTCAGGCCTCTGGTGACGTGGGATTCCCCTCGTTTCCTCAGGTGTCCCACAGGTTCAGGGAGCTGATGAGGCTCTTCCACACGTCCTGCGACGGCAGCTCCGAGGACGAGGAGGACGCCACGAGCACCAGCAACACGGACCAGCTGTCGGATAAAGACCTCCTGCTCTCCGAGGAAGAACCCGATGACTGAGCTGTTCGAACTACTGACTGCCCCCAGGGGAGGTTTCTCGTTTCGTTTTGCCAGTTTGCTGCTAGACAGGTGCTGTGGGGGGGAAAAACAAAAAAAATATGTTTGCACACGGGTGTTGAGACGGCGCCTTGGCCCGGGTTCTGTTGGCTTTTCCTGCTCCAGTTCTGAGGAGCTGCAACGCCCAGCCTGTCCCAAACTGGGTCAGAGTGTCCTCCAGAACCTCCCTGGGGAGCTTCAGCAGAGGAACAGCCGAGCTGGGGCTCGTGGACACTCAGGGGGGAGGTTGGGCCCAGCAGCTTCGGACCAGAAGGTGTAAATATTGGACCCTAAGATGTCAAGTTTTCACGTGGAAAGAACACGGGACTTTTTTTTTTTTTTTTT